TCTTAAGTTGAAATTTACAATTTAGCATTCAATCAATTTTAACACACATATTCAATAACATTAATAATTTAGGAGTCGAGAATGAATGGATTTGTTGCATAATGAGCCTTATAATAGTAATTAGATTTTAATACTAAAGCGGTTCCCATGAGTATAGCAAAAAATACTTAATGGTCACTAGTTACACTAATATGTATTAAACTATTTGGGAATTTCATTATATGACTGCCACGTTGGTATAGTGGCTAGCTGCGGCTGCAGATCCTAAGATACTGGGTTCGAGTTTTTCTAATAAAAAAATTCAGTAACAGCCCGGAATCGGGATGTTCGCGTTGTTTAACTTCGAAGAGCACGTAAAGCCGTCGGTCCTGTGTCTGATTTCTTATCGGTCTTTTCAAAGTATCGTCCCATCAGACTTTGAGAGTGACAGGACTAGAGAGTGCAGTTGTGCCTGCGCGTACACGCGCTCCACTGTAATATCTCCTGCGTGCCTTTATTTCTTTGACGATATCTTTTTAGAATATTAACACACAGCACCATCTAGTTCCATGGTAAGCTACGAGGCCTGTGTTTTGGATACCATATGGTTGATACACTACACATATATAACTTTATATACATCTTCTTCTTCTTCTTCTTCCTGACCATTTCCCAATCACTTGGGGTCATTTGGCAAAAGTTTAACAACCGGCCGCCTGCCTGACGTCAACCCTCCTTGGGAAAACTTTAAATACATACATATTATAAATATAAACACCCATGACTGGAGTACAACATTCGTGCTCATCACACAAATGATTGCCCTCAGCGGGACTCGAACTCGTGAGCGCTGGCACAGTAAGTAGGGTCACTACTAACTGAACCAAAGTGTCGTCAAATCGAATCATATTTTTTACTCTGTAACGGCACGAAGTATTTAAATAAAAATCAAAATGAAAATAGCTTATGTTTTAGATTAAGTGTGTTGAATTATATATATATATATATCTCGCAAGAGCGCACTTGCGTCCTAAAACTAATAGGTAACTATAATTTATCTACTTCTCTCGGAATACTTTAGAGGAACAAAGTAATAAGATAACATCTGAAGTTTATGTAATGTATAGAGGAGGTATTCATATGAACGTAATTATACAGATAAGGTAATAACTAATTACATATTCATTATAATAAATCAAACTCTTCTGAAGGCGAGTATACTTTATAATTAGCCATGTTCTAACTGAAAGTGCTAACAGAAAATGATTTTTGGCGATAAGTCGTTGTCTCAGTACTGATTTGTTAAAATAGAGAAAGAGTTTTAAATACAGAATTATTGACATTTAAATGTCAATTCTATTCATATAAAATACATTTTACGTTTAAAAAGGCCTAAAATATGTTTTAATCTAGATATCTATAAATATGCTAGGAATAATTCCCTATAAATGTACTTGACATTGGAAAATTATACAAAGAAAAATCTATAAAAGTGCCATAAATAAAATGCATTATTTTGTTTATGAATAACATAGCAGGCAAATTATATCAGAAAGTATGAAATAATATTGATATCATTTTCGGTAACTTGCGAGTGGTCACAAGTTCAAATCTAAGTAGTATGACTGGTGAAGAACTTCGAAAATCTAAGAATTAAAAAGTCAGTAAAGATAAGAACAGATACATATAATATACGTGCTATTAATACAAGTTCCAAGTTAGAATAAAAATTTTATGCAAAATTACTAGAATATTCTATACTATAAATAATGCGACATTTCCCGGATAATTAAATATTATTTTTAATTGACTTGTTTACGCATCTCCGCATTGATTCTAAATTATTACATTGTTAGAATGTTGTTAAATTACAATATTACGTCATTGTTAAATGATTTTAATTGTGTTTGTCTGTGGTATGTCGAGCTGGCGGCTTATTCGACGGAAGTAACAGGTTTAAGTTCAAACGTAAGCTTAAAATATACTTTAGGTGCTAATTACCAATTACTCAAGTTATTGAAAATTAAAAACACGATATTCAATATATAGACCTTATATAAACTGGAAAATAACATAAAAAACTCTAGTCAAGGACTTTAAAGAGATGGTTCCCTTGGGATATAAATTCGTTGTAAAAAAATTATTGAAGGTTGTATTTAAAATAAAAATTACTATCTCAATTCTACAAACACACATCCATTTTATAAATGTTTCAATCTCAATGAGGTTAAGTGCATCTTAAAAGGAAAGATAGACATTACGATAAGCATAATAATACAGAGGACGGCCAACATACAAAGGATCCAATCGAGATTTGGTTTCGAAACTTTGCGGTCAAAGTTTAGGAGTTTATCATGTTATAGATTAAATTGGATATAATAAAAATATATCTTACGACTAACGGTGTAGAAATATTGGCACAACACCGACGACAATGGAATTACGATTTTGGCTCAGTTTGTAGTGACCCTACTTGCTGTGCCAGCGGTCGCGGGTTCGAGTCCCGCTGGGGACATTCATTTGTGTGATGAACACGATTGTTTGTACTCCAGTCATGGGTGATTATATTTACAATATGTATGTATTTAAAGTTATATAATACATATATCTACTGTCTAGTATCCATCACACAAGCCGCGTAGCTTACCATGAAACTGGATGGTGCTGTGTGTTAATGTCCCAACATATTAATTTAACACCGTGTCAAAGTTTGTTTGGGAATATTTCACATTCAAAAATTTAAGTCATTATGATATATGCGAAAGGACATGTTGCTTAATACTAGTTATAAGTAAATCATTAAAGTCTTTTCGTTATAATTTTTCTTTTAGTTGTTTATACTCATAAAATACATTTCTCCCATTTCAGTCTTCAAAAAAATTAATTTAATGTTAGTTGATAAATTTAAACCTTTTATCTTAAGTAATCAAAGCAGAATGAAGTAGATAAGATTAATAAATCATTTAACATATTTGCATCTAATTTTCATTATGAGTCGTTCAGTCGTCGTCAACAAGCCTGTTATGCAAATTACTGCAAATAACATATCGAGACTGAAATTTCATCAACATTTGTTTAGCAATTTAGCCATAAAAGTACTAATATGGTTACAAGTCAACCAAATATATATTAATTGTGTAATTCAAAATTAATTTTAACCAAAGCGAAAGGATTCATTGAGAAAGACAATCGTCATTTCGCAAAACTATGTAGAGATAGTAATCGAAACATAAATTCGAATAACATGCAAAAATGTAATAAATTTATTTTAATCCATCGTGTTTTACATAATAGGATTCATGTTTGAATTCGTTATGCATAAATAAAATGTTCATGTTTGTTTAAAATTTGTAAATACATACATATGTACATACATAAGTGATAAATATCACGATATTAAAAACATACTAACGACTTCTTCTAATTATTGTATTTGTAGCACTCATTTCTAATTGTTATATGTGTAAACTAGCTGCTTACACTTTAGTTACGATTTTGTTTACCATTTCAAAGGTTTTAATCGATTTGCACGGAACCCTAATTTCGTTTCTAAAAAAAGTAGCTTAAGTTACTCCTTTAGCTTTATACCAATGAAAGTCCCGTCAAAATTGATCCATTCCAGATTACTCGAAACAAACAGACAGACAGAGCAAAACTATAAAGTTTTTTTTTCTTATAAGTACCTTGAATACTTTCATATGCATTTAGTAAAAAGCTGTTATTTTGACATTACAAATAGACACTTCTATTTAATTTATTCGTATAGATGTGTAAAATCTGGATAATACTTTATGCCATCGAACTGTTGTAATAATGGAATTGATTGAACACTGGAGCTCTTCAATAGTTACTAGTAAAACCTTGTAATATCCACCCAATTTTTTTTTTTTTTTGGATTTCTCACGTAAAAAACATGTATCCCAAATTTTCAGCTTCTCCAAGCTATCTTACAGTACGTACATATTTTGTATATAACATGTAAATAATTAATTTTTGAATCCGTTCAATATAATAAGTCAATACAGAATTATAATAAGCTATGTAAAAATGCTCTATGCACATATAAACAAGCACGATGATAAAATGATCAGAATTCATTAGAATTTATAAGTAGTTAGTTCTAAATATAGATAATTTTAAGATTCTTCTAGTAGTTTTTATACTTTATAAATTAATTTATCTCTAAAAGCTTACATGCGACGGGTGAGTTTGTTGATTTGTTCTTTTTTCACTTAATACTGTATCTACGTAATTATTTGCACAGATATAGCGCATATAACCTTTAAAGTAGTATATCTAAATTTACTTAGGTGCAAAGCAAGAATTTACTAATTAATAATAACAAAATTATTATATATTATAGAGCATTTATGAGTCGTTCTGGGTTATCGTTGAAGCTATATTTGTTTATAATGTACAATAAAAGTTTGTATTACTATCGATGTTCTATGACTAAACTAAGCTAAGCTTCTTTTAGGTCGCAACTACATCCAATACGTATTTTCTACTCAGATGTATAGTTATTCCATAGGATTAAATTAATGGATCAAGATAAAACATAAACGATCTAGGTCCTTAATCTAACATATATCCTATATGGAATTTATGATATTAGTATTGCAATGATTTTTAGATTTTCCTTAAACATATATAGGTACATACGTGAGATTCGTTAAATTATTATCTCACTAGTGAAATTATAATTAATCGGAGTATTATCAATCTCGTTTTCTTACAATATCACGGGAGCATAAAGCATATTATAATTTCCCTAATTTAATTTAGTTAAATAGTTAAACGGTCAATAATTGTACCGATTTAGACATCTTTTATGATGCGCAGCATCAACCATAGACTTAGTAACATAAAGGAATAGAAAAATGTAATGTACATAAAAATGTTATTAATGGACATAACGGAAATTCAAAAGATATCTTTTCTTAGTGGGAAGATAAAACCGTAACAGAAATGAGTATTCAAATATAAATGATGCGTTAACGAAGTAAAAGTTATTATGTCACCTGACAGCCGGTTTCGACGTCTGCATAGTAGCCGGACCCGCGACCTTGGCACGTGAATCTCGTCGCCGGACTCTTGACTCGATTACCCGTCTGGAAAGAAAATTTGCAATATTATTACTTTATAAGTAGATTCAACATATTTTTTATTATATATTAATAATAATAATAATAACTATAATGTGTTATTATGATTTATAAATGTTATTCAATGGGAGGAGAAAATATGGAAACACCACGGAATAGCAGATGTCACTTTGTACGAAATTATCCATTAAATTAATAAAGAGGGAGGTACGTAAATCGTGTATATAATTGTTAAGAGAAAATTCTTCCCTTAAATTTAATAATTAAATCAATTTAAATCATTTTTGTAAAATAGTGGGTAGGTACTATCTGTAACAAGTATATAACGCCCTTGAGATATCGAAAACCAAAGTGTCTCCCGTGACAATTTGCTGTAAAGCATTCGAAACGTCTGGAACCAAAAATCAAAATAAATACGCGAAATAATCCGAAAAGATAGTTTTATTTAAAATTAAATCAGTCAGTGTAGTCTTTATATTTTAAAAAGGTATTATTTCACTGCAAATAAAATTAGAGAATGACGAGAATTTTGTATAGTATTACCAACTTCACTACATAATATTATGAATTAAAGTCTCCCCGCCACGCTGTTTGTTGGAGAAATTTCAAAAATTGCTGTGCAGACTTTCATACGGTTTTCACTAATAGAAAAAGATAAGCTACGGGTATCATGAATAATATTACAAATAAGAAAATGGTATATCATAAGTTTTCTTTCTAAACTAAGATTAGATAAAATCGCTTGTTAAGCTTTTTCTAGTAAATAATGAACACACGGAAGACAGATTCTAAACTCTGATCCTCAATCAGCTGCCCCGTTCATTACTTTCCGTATTCGGTAACAGGGAGTTACGTAGTTAATTGTGATAGAACTGAAGTGGAAGCTTTGTTTTACATGCACGGTTATAGCGCTCCTTTTATTCGTTACAAATCTAAGTTTTGTAATGTCTTGTAACCATTTTGTATTTACGTCAAAAAAATGTCTTGCTTGTTATATTATATTATTATTTGATTTTTTTTATAATTAAAATTAGACAGTAAACTATTTATTACAGTATACAAAAATACTGAACAAAATTATATATATATTTTTTAATATATTAGTTAAAGGCAGTGGTAGCTCAATGGTAACGGGATTGCTTTGCTAACCAAGTGAAGTGGGTTAAAATCCAGCCCTGGCACCTCTGATATTTTCTTTTGCGAATCATTATTAACATGAAATCGCTTACCACTTCTCTTACGATGAAGCGGTGAATGAAAACATCGTAAGGAATGCATTTCTGAAAGAACAGTCAACCAATCATTTGGCCAGAATGGCAGACTATGGACTGATCCCCCTCTTATTAGAGGGAGACTCGTGCCCAGCAGTGGGACTTAAAAAGGGTTGTATATTATGTTTGTTTGTCCTTCTTTCACACAGCAACAAATTTTTAAAATATGCGAACGAAGCGTTTGCTAAAAAACAGTATAGGCAGGAAATATAAGTTTCTTGATATAGCACGAAGAGTAAGTATTTAATATAATTAGACTCCATGCGAAGCGATGCCGGGTCATAAGTCATATTTTATGTGAATGATTAATAAACAGTGACATCTTACAAAATTATATAATCTGGAAGCAATATTAATGGAAAGGTTTATAATTAAGTTTTGTATTTATTATGATACTATTGACCCGAAGAACTGATAAGTACTATCATAGCTGGGATGTAAACTACCAGTATGCACACAGCTTATATTTTGATGGACGAAACCTGCATTTTGCTTTTCTTCAATTTTGCTTGAGGTTTTTGAGTTCAAACAAAAATTATATAGCACTATTAAGATTTTCGGAATTAAGCAATTTTCCAATAACCTTTTCCAATTTTTTTAATTTCTAAAAAATACCTTATTTGGATTATTAAAATACCGCAAGTAGACGTTCTCGACTTAATATGTGAGAGGGTATTTCTCAATAGATCCGACCTATTTATGGTGATAGCCGACAAATAGCAAGGCAGCATACAAATTCTTAATTAAAAATGGAATACATTTCAGTCCTGGGAACTTAGACAAAATGTCATTTTACAATCGTTTAATAACAGAAATATAAAAAAAACATACATTAATAAATTCGTGGAAAAAAAATATCGAACTTGCTACTAATTTAAAGCCACTGGATTACTCTTACTCTAGTACCAGCCAATAGTGCATTGCATAATAGTTTCGAAAGATACATTAGTAACGGGAAACAAAAAAGCACAAACGTAAAGCAAACAATAGTATGGTAATGTAGATCACAAAACAAGCTATCTTTTAATCTGCCATCCGGTCTATTGAATACGTTATTAGGATACTATTTCTTAATACGTTCGATAGAACACGGTTTAATTCTTAAGTAAGATTTCACAGATTATTACTTAGTACCTAATTTACATAAGCACCGTCGTAGTATAATATTAATCAGTCATTCTCATTTGCAGCAGAAGTCGTGAGTTCGAGTCACAAGCACAATGAATATTTGTATTAAGAATTAAGCCTTTGTTTTTTCCAGTAAAACCTCACAACTATGCCAGAAATATAATAGCAAAGATATTTCTTTCTCTTCTTAATACAGTAGTTCTGTGGAACGACGATTTAATAGTCAAACAGAAGAACAAAACAGAAGAAGAAGGAACAGAGAAAGATATCTGATGCTGAAACGAAATTTAATTCTCAAGTTCAAAATTACAACTGTGTTACAATGTTTTACTTCTTTATTGATTTATAAAGATTTTTCTTAGTAAAAATTAAACCCACGACCTCTAATTGGCGATGCTAATATTATATTGTAAAACCCGTCTACGGTCTTATATTCTAAAATATTTTTAACTTAAGTTCTACAATAGCTGTGCAATAATAATAAAATAATAAATACGAACACCATTTATGATAATCAATTTATGATTATAAATGAATCATACAGATAAGAATAATAAGAATAAAAATGAAAAAGTACTCTTGAAGTATAAAGGATGAAAAAGAGTGTCTACTTTAAACCGCACTTCTCTGCCCGATTTAGACTTTATCAGAAAAAAAAGTGAGATAGGGGATAGAAGTTTTATAACTTCTTTTGATAAATGGCCTGCCAAGGTGTCAAGGCATGTTAGTATTATAAAGTCAGCCATTGTTTTATCGCCAATTAAAACTTCTATTGCAAAATTCAAAAAAATATTAAAAAATGAAGGTCATTCTACAATAAAAGATATTATAGAATACTAACGACTCACCCTCACTCCGCTCGGATTTTTAGGTACCTATGTTTTAACTAATTAATTAGTATAGATTACTCAGAGATATTTTTCCACTATAAAAAGTATCCTATATGTTGACCCGGATAGCCAGCTATCATCATACCAAATTTCATCAAAATCCGTCCAATGATTTTCTCGTGATGCGTTCCCAGACAGACAGTTAGACAAAGATTCTAAAAACTATAGATTCGGCCTCTATATCGATAATAATTACAATTTCAATCAGATTTTCCAAAAAATATTTAATGTGCAGATGTGACTCAGAATACATATGTATCACAGATCATATAATACTAGTATATGTATAGATAACACTTTAGAAGCGACTTAATCACCTCAAGAGTATTTCAATGTTATGTAATCATTGTAACTTATAATTTTATTAAAAAAAGCTAAGCATTTTAGTCCCACTGAGTATCTCTGCCCAGTTCATGGTAAATTTTCTTTTCGAATCTGGATAGACTTATCTGAAATTTGAATGTAATAAATATTGAATGACACAAGCAAATCCAGGGCAATAACATAGTGTATGTACGTAATAAATTTTGCAAACGAACTGGTATGTGGCAACGTCATGAAGATGCAAACGTGTCTTATATCATTACTTATAAATCATTCACTTTACATATATCATTTGGCTTGTTTACTAACACGTTAGTAGAATTATTCATTTACTTTGCTGTTGTATGAAAAATTAAGTATTTTGAATAATAAAGCCATTTGTCCACTACCTGGCTTAGTGATCTGAGTTTTTGTCTCTATATTGGAGATCGTAGGTTCGAATCCGGCTCTGAACAATGGTTTATTTTAATTATCAGTGTGCTGAGAATGTGTCATCAATATCAAGCACAGATTAAAAAAGTACAAAAAAATATATATGAAAATCTGGCTTTTTTTCATACGAAGTAAACTCTATTTTATTATTACTGATTCATTTATTTACTAAAAGAATATTTAAATGGCGTAAATAAGTGGGATTAAGCTCTTCGAATTAAACAAAAAAATTGATGACAGTCTTCGAGTTAAATATCTGTGACATACGTACACACGTACCGTTCCCTTTAGGGCTACAAAACCATACAAATTATTATACTACACGATCCTTCAAGAAGTAAAAAAATAAGGTCTACCCAAAAATGCGTATTGAATCCTTGCGTATTTTTTATATGGCTTTCCTGTCTATGGTTATATATACAATTCCGCCATATATTACGGAACATAATGACGAATTATCACTTTTATAATTTCAATACCATTAATTATACCTAATATTATAAATGCTCAAGCTTGGGTGGACGGATGTTTGTTACTCAATCACGCCAAAAGGCAGAACAGATCTGGATGAAATTTGGCACGCAGATAGATTATAGTCTGGAATAACACATAGGTTACCCTTTATCCCGGAAAAATATACGGTTCCCATGATATAGATTTATTATTGTTTTTCACTAGGGACGAACCAGAGCGAAACAAGGGTAATTCGCTAGTATAAATATTGAGAATTGAAATAATGCGATTTAAAATTGTAGAGTCGTGAGCTTATGCACTTACGCGAGACTGTTGCATTAAGATCCATCCATATTTAGTTTGTAAACAACAAGTATCAAAATAATTTATGTACATAGTTAAACTAGCCTTTGTACGCGACTTTGCTTGCTTAGATTACTAAATCACGTTACTCCACAAATAAAGCATTGTGATATTAGGTTACAGCTTGTATCCTTCCATTATAGAACACTAAACACGGTCTTGGTACTTAGAGGTTGGCGATAAACAAACAAAAATAAATATTTTATTTATTATTAAGTAATATTTTATATTATACTTAGTATTTAAATCTGTCTTCAACAGCTGGATAGATAACAAAGAGTATTTTTTATGTAAGTAATTGTCCAGCATAAATGCATAACTAATTTGCATTATAAACGGTCTGTGTTCTTCCATACACAGCGAGCTTCGTGATTTATGATTATGGTCAATAGAAATTTACTAGATACGTTACCGAACGCTAAGTTTAGTTTAATTGATACTATAGGCTTATATTATTGAAATAAAACAAAAATTTAATACAATATTTGATAATGTAATCGAACTACTATTATAAATTCGAAAGTTTGCACGTGTGTATGTTTGTTCGTATGCACTACTTCACGCTGAAACGTTTGGACACATTTAGATGAAGTACTCATACTAGACTACGAGTATGATCTGGAGTAATACATAGGCGACTATTAGGCTCCTATAGACGCACCTTATTTTTTTATGTTTGGAAATACATATAGGTACAAATACTCCCACTCTGCTGTCAAAGAAGTACCAAGAGCAACCCGCATGGAACACCTCGCACCCAGGGTGTGTCTTAGCTTTGCGCCCGGCTGACTTGCTGTCACTAATGAACTTATGAATCCACAACAAGTTTTTTATTCATATTCACAGATCTCAAATACGTTGGATCACCACCCGGATTTATATGGCAACATTTGAAAACCTATGAAAATAAGAACAAAAAGTAAAAATTCTTTTTATGATAAATTGGTATCTATTTGGAAAAAGATTGAAATATGCTCTAAATTTCGCCCACACGTTTTGATTTAAAAAGCTCAATATTATGCTAATCGGGCTATTTAGTTTGTCCAAAATATATTTTATCGCGTTTCGTTAAACTAAAATTGATTTACGCAATATACAGTACATGGGCGTACACGTGGGAACACTTGTAACACTCGAACCCCACTCCTAATAATAAAGGAGAGTAAAAAGAACTAAAATAAAATCAAGGTTATTGGTACATTTTTTTTGTGTATTTCATATCATGTCCTCCGATTTGGGCCAAGACAGCCAATATCACTATAAATAGTGGAAATACAAGTGCACTCCCTATTCCTTCTCACTCTCAAAGATCGCTGGAACGATACACCTGGACTGGGTGAGACTGGTTGGACTCTAACTCACCAATCGAGCTGCTACAAGATTTTTTTTTACAAAAAATAATTCAACATTTTTGAGACTCGAACCCAGGACCTTCGTAAGATCTTCACCTTATTATGAACGATTAGTAAATGAATGAACAGTCGTTGCCTATTTATTGGTTTAAAGCGCATCACACATAACAGAATTGAATAAGTTTGTTAGAGAAGTTGTTAGCGACAAGTTGGTTACAGATTTATGGTTATACAAATGTAAGCCTGAATGAAAAATAAATAAATTAAGAAGCTTTATTTCTATGGTTCGATTACTATCAAAGGTAGAAAGGCATTGATAGGAAGCTACCATTTTCAAAAGTATACTACTATAAAGTATACTACTGAACCGATTTAGATGAAATTTGGTATGTAGATAGCTTGAAACCCTGGGAAGGATCTAGGATAGTTTTTATCCCGTAAAAATATCCCTAAGGGGGTGGAAGTTTGAATGGGGAATCGATCATTTCTCCAGTAAGTAATTTTTTTAATAAAGTATTCACCTACTTTTCTTTACCTATACATGTACAATGTACATATATACATAAATGTCTCTAGGGAAGAATCCGAAGGAAGCGAGAGCATATTTCAGTCGCTAGTTAAATAGATATAATACACAACGATTCAAAGTGTAGAGCTACCATTCTACTGCCGATAAATACAAAAAACATTGTCAATACAATATGTTACGAAACGATTTATCTTTTAACATTTTATATGCATTCTATACATAATAATTCTGAGTGGAATGTATACATTAAATACTTTTTGGAAAATCTGAAGTCAATATTATGGATACAGAGGTCGAATCAATAGTTCTTAGAATTTTTGTCTGTATGTTTGTGTGGGAACGCATCACGAGAAAACCACTGGACAGATTTTGATTAAATTAGGTATGATGATAGCAGGTTATCCGGGTCAACATACCTATAGGATTCTTTTTACTGCGGGAAAATATCTTATCTCAGAAAAATCTATACTAAACG